GCACATCTGCTCACACCTGGCAAGGACAGTGTGAAAAATAATACTAAAAGGAAGAAAAAAGAGTGGAAACAGAAGAAGTAGGTACACCAAAAAGGGTAGGAAACACCTCCCACTTGGCAAGGTAAACCCCTCACTTTTGATTGTTGAAGTGTTACCTGACACTGTCTTGCTTCCGTTCAACATTCCTTGAGTCTCCAGCAAGTCCAGAGAGATATTGGATCCCCTGCCCCCTTTCTTTGTGGCTCCCTTTCAAAGCAGTTACTTAAGTTTCACAAAATTCTTTTACTGCCCAGCCTCTAATTTTGTCCCAATTTCCAATCCCTTTATTTCCCTGCCTTAAAATTTTCACAAGCATCTTTTGAGGCAAGGAGGGGGTTGCTCACAGAAGCTGTAGCAGTAACTGCTGTGAAATGGAGCCATATAAATGGTGCAGAGCCCATTTTTCCCCTTTCTGAACTTGCTGGAGCCTATTTGATGCCCCTGCTTCTCCCACTTTTTGTCCTTCTTTTTTTCTCTCTATTTCTTTTTCCAGATCTTTGCAAATTTGCCTACTCACACTCTCAGCTTGGCAATTCCCTTGCATGTTACCTACTGTACTTTGCACCCTTCCACAGCTGAAACTTACAAAGATGTTGACAAGGCAAGACCACAACATCAGTTATCATAAGTGTACACTTGTGAAAGACCGCCACCACCAACACAATTTTACGAAGATGAATGCACAATTTTCTGGGGATGAAAAATAAAAAAGAAATTATGATCCCGTTTGAATACTTGCAATGTATGAGGGAAATGAGAAAGTCCAAATGAAAAATCTTCCCTCTCTCTCACACACATACAAACACACACCCACAAAATGCTATTTTGCCAGGAGAAAAGCTGCCATTGCTGTCACATTTATTTTTAAATTACAAAAACAGCAGACCCTGTTTGGATAGCTTGGGGACTTCCCCATCCTGGTACCTGATACTGTACAATCCGGGAGTCAGAGAAGATAGAATGAAACTAAAGCTAGGGTACCATTTGTAACCTCCTGTTGACACCTAGTAAATGAATACTTTGAAGGCTTAGCTTTCAGTTATCACAGTATTCATCAGAACCTTGGAGGTAAATTACCCATATTTTTCATATTTGTGTTTTGTATCTGTGAAATGATCTTCATTCTCGTATTGCAAGTTAGATTATCACCCTGTCATTTGTCTATAGAATATTTTGGCCTCTGCTAAACTCACAGAGATTATCAAAAGCATAGATAAGCCTAGGCAGTGCCAGTACATGTTGATTGATAAATATGGGAACATACAATTAGCAGAAGAGCCCTACTTAATTTATATTAATTTATATTGTTTGATAGGATGTTATTTATGTTTGTGAGCCGCCCCAAGGCTTCGGCGAATGGGGCGGCATAGAAGTTCCCTAAATAAATAAATACTTGAATACATAAAGGCCTATCTAGTTGGCCAATCAGATGCCTATGCAAAGTCCCCAAGCAGGACAGGAGCTCAATGGCGCCCTTCCACTTCTGCATCTACTGGCACTTATGACTAACTAGAAAGTGTGTCCATGGTTAAATGTGTAACTCCTTTATAGTTTGCAGCATATATGCATGTTCTGCTTTGTGACTTTGCTCTATAGTCTGTGGAAATCATTTAGATGGAAGGGACTTTGGAGATCATCATGACTGATACTTGTTCAATGAAAGATGCAACCACAGTATTCCTGAGAGATAGGTTAAATTCATTCATAAAAGAATGAATCCTTCTATGGATGACTCTTCCACTGTCAAACATTAGGAAGTTCTCCCTAGTATTAAAGCACAATTGACTTTCTTGGGGAGATTCAAGTCCTGGAGCAGCAGTCTATTTATTATTTTAAAATTTTATTTGCTGCCTATCTCACCACTAGCATCTCTAGGCAGTGTCAGCACTGTCAGTAGCTTCCTCTGGCCTTTGAGAAGCCCCCCTTAGTCTAGTTTCAGGATTTAGTAATCCAGTGCAGCTGAGTGGAAACTCTCCCATTGTGCCTGTTCCAGATGTAACTAGAGATCAGCTGATATCACACTTTTAAAGCTGAATTTTGGTATATATGGGTTGAGAAGCAGAGCAGAAGTCACCAAGGAAGTCAATACTGAAGTCTGTTGGGATAATATATGTGACCAGTCCTTTTTATTATAAGTTTTGAAACCTAGGCAACATGGAAGAATAACTTCCAAGCTTAAGGTAATGCATGAGAATGATAACAATAGAATTCCCAGTATAATGGTAATTATTATTATTATTATTTAATGACTAATGATCATGTTTAGGAGAAACATAGCAAGAGGACCATTCCATTCACAGCTGCTGACTCCAGCCTCATGACTGAGAAATCAGCCATGCCTTTTATAAGCATTGCCTTCCCCAGGATGCCTTACAACCTTCTGAATGAGGTACTGACTCAATCATCTTGTACAGTTATCTCCCAAATGGCTGTTGCCCCATATCCACCAGATTTCTTATTGTCCATTTCTATACTCTGGGAACTTGCTTACTCAGCCTCACTCAGACAGGTACCTTCAAAATTCCTTTTGCTTCCCACCCCTATCAGACACTGAGTCATTTCTTTGTATAAATCACCACATAAGCACCAACTAAGACACCTTATTGATATGTTCCAGATATTTCAGATATTTGAAGACTGCTGTGTTGTCACCTCCTTCCCTTCCCCTTTCCAGGTTAAGCTGCCCAGAAAGCTTCACCTATTGGGTGGTATAGAAATGTAATACATGAAGAAGGAGAAGGAGAAGGAGACTTTCCTCTGTTCCTCACAGAGCTTGAATTCCAGACCCTTCAGCATCCTGGTTGCTTTCGACTACACATGCTCCTACTTGTCAATGTGCTTCCTGGACACAGGAATGTGCCTGAGTTGTAGCCCTACACACCATTCTAGTTCTTTGGGTTCTGGCACAGCATGCTAGGCTGAATCATGGTAGATGGATAGCTCTGGCTCCTTCTCACCAGGGGCAAAGCGGCAGCTACCTTCTCCTTAGCTTCAAATTCCACCCCTGGATTTAGCTGCAGTGCTGTGATCTGAGCCAACCATTTGGATGTCAGCTGACACCACAGACTGAAGTTGTTATGTAAATTGCTCTTTGAAGGACTCTGTGTATTTTTCCATGACCAATAATTGCCAGTGAGCTCTCTTCTAATATGATACCACTTTTCTCAGTCCATGTTTATAATGAGGGCTTTGATTTATATTTTACAGTTAGCTTTAATAAAGTACTTACACTCTCTGAGGTCTGTTTAATAATGAAAAAGAAAGACATAATATAAAAGTGTAACAATCTTCTGCTATTGGTGTGTGTGTGTGTTTACAAGCATATATATTACTTTGAGTGGGCAGATTTATTTGTACAATGTAAGCATCTTTATTATGACTGAGTGCATTCTTTTCCAGTCCAAAATTCTACAAAGCTGAATGCTTCTCTAATAAAAGTAACATAACGACCATCAATAAATGCCAAATTCTTAGCCCACTTTCCTCCCAAGCAGGAAATGAAAAGATCTTCCTTCCAGTTAAATGTCAGTTTGCTCTGTAGAGAATGTCAGAGGAGCTTGCTTAACATAATATGATTTTGAAATTAACAAATAACTCTAAAGTCATGACATTGATTAAGAGATTGAAGAGATAATTGTCTGGTCATAAGATGAAAAGAAGTGGGTTCCTGTTTTTTACAGATACTTCAAAGTAAAGCATATTTAATTCTTAACTAGGATGAGTCATCAGAATTAATCATGTTACACAAATGTCATTTCTTTGCACTTTTTACTAGCCATCCATACCAAGTTAAGGAAAAGTAATATATTTCCTTCTCCCTTCTAAACTTCTGTAGGTTTGATTAAAAGCAAATATTGTAAATGGAGTGTGTGTAAAAGAGAGTGAAAGGAACTTTAGTGTGGAAAAAAACTGAGCCACGTGTCACTATATGTGTTCAGAATATAAGAACTCTAGGAAACCTGAAATGCTGCAATCCTCAGTAGTCTAAAACCAAATAGAAGATGCTTCCACTTCAAAGCAGAGAATTTCTTAACGGATAGCTCAAAGGTCTCTAGCATGGCATGCTTGACCTTTGCTGAAAAGTGCTTATTTCAGATAAGTATAGCAAGGTGACTTAGGGCACAAGCCTAGGGTTCTCTGACGTTGTCTGGGGCCACCATAGGATAGGTTGGAATCCCAGCTCTGACCTTGCAAAAACACTCCCAGGTCAGGACCAGTCCTCTGACGTTGTACGTGCCCCTCTCTGCCCGTGCAGAAGGAGCTGCTCTTTCTGTGCCGGCAGTGACTTCAGAGGCAGAAGACAGCCTTTCGCGGTGATGGTGGGGGAAGTCCAGGGAGCAGAGAGGGGAGAAGCAAGGCTTTGCCATTTCCCAAAGGATTTTGGTGGTGCCTCAGTCTCTTCTTGCAAGGAGGTGGGGAAACCATTTGAACAGTTTAAATCAGCCATCTCAATGTTTTGGAGGGCAAGGGGAGTGTGTTGGCAATTCTCCCCTCCATGTTTCTCCTGCCTTCATTGGATGCTCGGTCTTCCCAGCTCAGAGGACATCCTTCTTGGCTGGTATCCATTAGGGTATTCCCTACGGTATGTGGCCATTCAAGTATCCATGTTTAGACAGAAAAAGCACTACAAGTCCCAACATGCCCCAGCCAGCATGCCACTGGTCATCTTTCCAATGTAAATGATGGAGGGTGGCCACTAGGGGAAGGGCCTTCTCAGTTCTTGGTCACGATGCTCTGATTGTGGAATTGGCTCCTCAGAGAGATATGCTTGGCACCACATCTTTATGCTTTTTGGCACCAGGCTAAAACCATTTTATTTATCCTCATTGACCTGATTCCATATTGTCTTATGAATCATCTAAGCCTTACTACAGATCCATCTCTGGAGCTCATTGCTACCTCGTCTCCTACAAATGGGCTTTCTCTCTTCCATATTTTCTTCACCTCTCACTCTTTTTTCTCTCACTATCTCTTGTTCACCCACACTCAACCTGAAGCTTTCTAATTCCAGCACTCTTAGTTTGGACACCTTCAAAAGGCTCTTTCAGGTTTTGATACGTGGATCTGGACACAAAAAAGAACTGGGGAAATAGGCTGCAGCTACAACAGAAAACCCTGCAGGGCTTGAGGACTGGGGAAAGATGCTGGAAGGTTATGATTATATTACCTTTATATCCTTACTTTTTTCCTCTTGTGAGGAAGCCAAGGCAGCTTACAAGGTTTCCTTTGTCTCCATTTTAGTCTCACAACAACTACAGAGTGAAGTAGGTTAGACTTCATGGCCTTGTTGGGATTAGAACCCAAACCTCTCGAGTCCTAGTCCAGCATTCTAACTACTGCACTACAGTGGCTCTCAGAAAATACATAGGATTAAAATAAAATTAGAAAAATTTGAATAGATGAAAACACGTATGGAACTCCTGGGGATGTCCTTCCCATATTTTTTGACAGAAAAATGTCTTAGGCTGGTCCTGCCAGTGTGCTTCCAGATAGATACCTCCCAGTACATCCATCAATGGGCATTTCAAACTTACTAGACTATTTCTGGTAGGAAAAATATGAAAGAAGTGCAATGAAAATATGGGAAATGGAAGACTATGTCAACTGGATCCACTGTAAAATAGTGTGCATAAGGTAGCCCATGAATGGTGCAATCCTATGCATGATCTTAAAAAAAAAAGGCCTACAACTGCTGCATTCCCAACATTGTAAGCCATCCCGAGATGCCAAGGCATGTGGTGATGGGATACAAATGCTTTAAATAAATAAACTAGCCAAGCTGGATGATGGATACTAGAACTTAGGGCTTTTTCTGTCTAAATATGCAGAAGATTGCATTCATATGGAAGTATATTCACACGCCTGTATGCTTACTCAGTGTACACACATGCTCACACATACCAAAATGTTTTCATTCCTTCATCATCATCATTATTACTACAATTTGGGAGAGTAGATTCTGAACATAGCTTTACTTTACCTTTGGAAGAATCGTGCTTTGGTACAATTATAATGAGCCAGTCTAAAGAATTATCTCACTTCCTTCCTCTTACAAGGAAGGAAATAATGAAGTGCTAAACATAGGCGTTAGGTCTTCAGATAAACAGTGGAGGAGGACGTTAACACCCACCAAGCTAAACATTTTAATGTGACTTCTTTTCTTTCTTATCTCTGCTCTAGAAAAGGCTGCAGTGATCAAAAGATGAAAAATATGGACCACTGCTGTGATGCTTTGCTGTTACACACATAAGCCTTCAGACTTCAGGCTTCAGCATTCCAGTAAGGAAGACACAAGGCCTAAGCTAGCTAAAATTCATCATGACTAAAAGTCATTGAAACCACAGGCAACAGGTTAGAACAACTAATGGAACAAACCAGAGGCAACTTCCAGTGAGATTTGATGGGGATAAGGGCCAACATAACTGATGGTTTCAGTGAGTGTTTGGTGCCTAGGGCTGCCAGGTCTAGGAACTACACATAAAGCAGTTCACCAGGGGCATCCTTTGTCCCTGTTGTACTGTCATGACAGGAGAAATTTCACCTGAGGGAACTTTCCTTGCTGTACCCATTATAGGAACATTCTCAGTATCTAGAGTTAGCAATATCTTTGTCACACATTTTTGTTTTTATTACAAGTTTTATTATGGAAACTAAATCAAAGTGCAACCATTTAATATGCTACCTAAAGCTCATATTTCCATTTGTCAGTTGATCAACGTCATCCCTTAACTGAAAGGAAAACCTGCAACGATGACTTGCTGTATCCAGGCCTGCTGGTTCAGGATTCCTTTCCTTTCCTTTCCTTTCCTTTCCTTTCCTTTCCTTTCCTTTCCTTTCATTCTGTGCCCATTTCATTTTTACTTGCTCTCCTCCTTATTTCCAAATATCTCCCACAGTAACTGAGCCTGCTTTAAATCAATGGGACTTTTAAGGCAGAGGGGAATCTTTTCTTAAATATTTTTATCCTTTCTTTGACTTTCTTACCTGTTATGGCACAGAAATTTTATAAATAATAAATACATAAATAAAATATTTGGACAGATGTTTGGAATAGTACAACAACCATGCCTGTGGCATTTGAGGGAGACTTTGTCCTCTCCAGATGTTCAGACATATGCACAAAATTTGAAATGATGTCTGTTTTTAAGTTTTCACACATGCCTTCCCTGCAAGCTGGTTGTACCCTACTTGAATAGATTATTTTCTTACTGTTAAAGAAGGAAGCTGAAGGGAGTCTCAGCTTTTTGGTTCCCTCATGTTTAAATAAAAGGAGTATTCTGACTTTGTGAAATAGATGGTAGGAATAGTTTGTATTTTAATTTTGCTTTTATTTGGGAGGTATTATATCTAAAATAATGCCATTCTTTTCAGTCTAGTGATTAACTAACAGTACCTATTCTGCTCATGTACCCCAAACTAATCCCCATGAATTCAGTGCAAATTAGACCCAACTAGGTGAGTGAGTTTAGACTTAAGAACGTATCAGCCACCTAGCCAGAGGCCGAGGGTGCATCTAGAGCAGCATTCTTTTCACACAGTGGCCACCCAGCTGCCCATGGGAAACCCAGAAGCAGGACATGAATGTGGCAGTGTCCAGCTGCCCATGCTTCCAGCAGCTAGTGCACACAGGGGTACTGCCTCTGATTCTCAAAATAACATAGAGCCATCAGGACTAGCAGCCATCAATTATTAGTATCCTTCAGTGGACATAAGTGGAATTTCAAACAGGGTTTGGCCATAGTATAAAGTAGTGAATCTTTATTAAACTTACTTTGCAGTTTCAATCATCTGAATGCAGTGTGCAACTAGGCTGGTAGAAATGGACTTCCCTGCCTTCTCATCCCGGCAACAGACTCTCTACTTCCCTGCAAATCCTACACAGAGGACCAGGGCACCCTTCTGAACAGGGTGGTGCCATGCAAGATGAATAATCCATCCAATAATCCATTCCCCCTTCTCATTATGGTCCCCCAACCATCTGTGTAATGTTTCGGGCATGCTTGGGGAGGGCATTGGGTAAATAGCTTCTACCTGTCCAGTTTCATGTGTCTAAATCTGTACCCAAAATTTGGACTGGTGTTTTCTCCATTTTTCTACTAGCTTTTTGTAGCCTGCATCCATATAGCTAGTTCCACATACTACTGAGAAGACTTGGAGTTTAATCTAATGTAATCAGATTCTTTCAGAATTATGTGTACATGTAATTGGGTACATATGGCACTTCAATACCATGTTCTGTTACTGCCAAGTCCCTTTGCAAAGAATGTTGTACATATTCTTGTTCCCAGTGGAATGGATTACTTCTTTATACCTGTTTTAGTTCTAATTCACAGTCCAATTTTTTAAAAAAGAGATTGTTTAACACTTATCTTAGCAGTTTATTTCAAAATCTTCACAGTTACTTAGCAGTGTATGATATTTGCAGGTACCCTAATAAATACTCCATTGAAATGCATTGGGCAACTTTTACAAAACATATCTTCACCAGACCTTCTCTTTATACCTTTTGCTGCAATACAAATCTGTGGACAGTTTGACTATTGTATTTACGCATTAATGGCATCAAATTTATTATCATTCTTTTAAAACTATAGACGCTATTTCCAACCAGGGTTATTTAAAGAAACATGCTGCTAACTTATAGATACTTGTAGATTTTCTTACTAGGATGATCTAAACTTATTGTTATTTTGGTTGTTTTGCTATTATATTGCATGTTATCCCACCTTTTTCCTCTTTGGAAGAGCCTAAAGTGGCTTACATAGTTCTCATCCACAACAGCTCTGTGTAGTAGGTTAGGCTGCGAAAGTGTAACTGGCCCAAAATCACCCAATGAGCCTTTTCCTACTCTCTTATTTTTTTAAATAATCTCTACTTTATGCAAATTTAGTTATGGAAAAATGCAGCCTACTAGAAATCAACCCTGAAATGTGCTTGGCATGAGGGAGGGGATTCCCATAAAAGTTATAGCCAATGTTAGTCTAGAATAAGTCCCATTTATTTCAGTGGATCTACTCTAAGTAGGATTAAATTGAATATAACCCATGGTCAGTAATAAATTCACATTCAGACTAGCTCTTAGATGTCTGCCCAAAGTTCACAGAATTTCTTTCCCCACTATTACCTGTGATAGTGAATGGAAATGTTTACAGTGCTTTATTTTTCTGCATTTGATAAGCTCATTAGTAAAAGCAAATTTATGTCAATTGTAAGTGCAACATTAGGCAAGCTTGGCAATTTCAAAATTGTAATTAATGTTTTTCAAGTAATTATCCCTAGCAAGTATGTGAGAGAATACTTTATGTCATTGAAATGAATTTGTCTCATGTGCAGCAGTAAATTCTGACAGCAAAACTGAAAGTGCCTCCCCAACATTAGAAGAAACTATATTAATGGCTGTTTTGGTTGATGGACTGCAACAATTGATTTGACTGGACCCTGTGTATACAGGGAGCTGATAAACTTAAATTAGTTGGCAATTTAGGTGCAATGCTATGGCCTGCAGATGGTCACAGAAGAAGCCAGAGTCCCAAGTCTACAGATTGCTCAACAGGATTATTACATGTCAAGACAAGATCAGTTTTGTAACCAGTTGATCAAACAGAAGACCTCATTTGAACTTCTTCAATTGGCTTATGAAACTGAGTTGAGAAATCTTAGAGAAAAGATGGTGCAGGATCTGAAACAGAGCAACAGAAACATGTTCCAGCTGACCTCAGCATTAAAGGTTTGTGGAAGACTGACCCTGGAGTCAGAGGTGTATGGGCATTCTCAATGGCAGATTGGAGATGGGAAAGGGTTCACCATAATATGTAATATTATGGTTGAGCCTCTGTCTGACTTGCTCAGGCACCACGATCAAAGCCATGGACAACTGAACTCAGCCATATAGATCTTTTTCAGGGCAGGAGAGCCTGGGTGTACCTTGGTCTCTGCCTTTGTTAGGATGTTCATGATCTTCTGAGGCTGAAGGGTTATGGGTCGCCTCATTGTGAATACCTTAAGAAGTGAGATGGAACAGACCAAGCTGCTATTGTTTCGTTGGACACTGAATAGGATCTTGACAAAATTCAGTGGAAATTCATTTTTGCTACACTGAGTAGTTTGGCTCCCCTGATAAATTTTTGATATTCATCTCTCCACCACACTGGAGAGCCAGTGTGGCGTGAAAGCCAGTGTGGTGTAGTGGTTAAGCATGAGACTGGGACTCAGAGGATCTGGGTTCTAGTCCCTGCTCAGCCATGGAGCCAACTGGGTGACTTTGGGCCAGTCACAGACTCTCAGCCCAACCTACCTCACAGGGTAGTTGTGGGGATAAGATGGAGGAGGAGAATGATATAAGCTTCCTTGAGCCCTTTGTAGGAAAAAGGTAGGATATAAATCGAAAAATTTATAAATAAATAAACAATGTAGGTTAAACTACTATATTCAATTCCTCATGTTAGAGTTATGAATAACTTTTTTTATTGGAAAAGATATGAGGCAGAGTCATCCACTTTCTCTATTGATATTTGATTTATGTTTGGAACCCCTGGTGTGTGCTATTAGTCAAAATCATAATATTAATAGCTTTGTGCATGATTGTTTAGAATTTAAAGGTTTCATTATACAGATGATCTCATCCTGTTTGTTTTGCAGCTCCAGGTATGTAGTTCAGCTTTGATGCAGTTGATAATACTTCTGGTCAATTTCTGGCTATTCAATCAACCGGTCAAAATCTAAACTGATGCCAATCAGAGACAGTATATCAGAGTGTGTTAATCAGAATGTATTCAGTAGTACCCAGTTTTCATTGCTTATTTAAGAATACTTATCACCAGAAACATATCTGTAAACTGAGCTAGAATGATGGTTATGATGATTGAATTTATGTCCTGCCTTTTTTCCTCTACTGAGAAAGCCCAAGCAGCTTACATGGTTGGAAAAGTCCTCTGAGATAGACAAAGCTGAGGGTGAGTGCCTGGCCCAAAGTCACCAGGTGAGCTTCATAGCAAGTGGGGACTAGAACTTGGATCTCCCAGGTCCATGTCCGGCACCTGAACCACCACATAACACTGGTAATCTCATGAAATATTTAGTTGATTCTGCTTTGCATCTTCAGCCTTGCTTACTGACTTGTACTAAATGGTCTTCTTTACACTTAGATTATAATTTTCAGCCTGCAGAATCTTTCTTAATTGAATCTTCCTTCCAAACAGGTAACTCTCAATATATTAAAATAGACAGTGTTCCTCCTGCAATTATGGTTGCTAGATATGTATTGTGGATAATCTTGTATTGATTACATTTTGATTCATTTCACATAGTAAAATTAGTTAATGGTGCAATCCATACTTAAACAGTTCTATGAAAATGATTTTGTTCTGAACTTGAATGGACCCTTTGATTTTTCCTTTGCTTTAGTTAGTGGAGGGTGATATATGTTTCTGTCCTTTTTCATTGGAGTTGCCTGACAATTCAAGTTTTCTGCTATGGCTGAACTGAAACATTTGTTAGAATCTAAGTTTGTCCCTTCAGCTTTTACAGCTTCACCACCCCCTCCATTATTGCAAACAATTAATGAGACTTATTGGTTACATTGACAAGCAACCAATGTTTATAAATAATTATTATCTGTGAAAAAGTAGGATGCACATGGTCTAAAGTAGGAATGGAATAGAGAATTTGAAGGTTCTTCTGAGTCTAAGCAACTCATTTCAGTATCAGTATATGGAGTTTTAGGTATAAGGTGCAGATGCAATCAAGATATGCTAAAGATTGTAAAATATGAGGGTTTCATAAAGATCTAACAGCATTTGATAAGTAATGCTAAAAACAGATGAGAAAATGGGAGTGCTCCTCGACCTGGAGCTTTCACTGGAAGCTCAGGTAACAGCAGCGGCGAGGAGCGCTTTCCTCCAGCTTCGGCTGATTCATCAGCTGCGCCCCTACCTGGAGTACGACTGCCTGGTGACGGTGACACATGCACTGGTGACTTCCCGCCTTGACTTCTGTAACGCGCTCTACGTGGGGCTACCCTTGAAGATGGTCCGGACACTTCAATTGGTTCAAAATAGAGCTGCCAGGCTGCTGACGGGGACTGGGAGTTATGGTCACATGACTCCAGTCCTCCGTCAGCTTCACTGGCTTCCCATTGAAGTCCGGGCCCAATTCAAGGTGTTGGTAATGACCTATAAAGCCCTAAACGGCTTGGGTCCTGGTTACCTGAAGGAGCGCTTACATCCATATATGCCCAGCCGCCCTTTGAGATCAGCGGGAGAGTCCCTTCTCCGGGAACCCTCCGTGAAAGAAATTAGGAGGGTGGGTACTCGGAGGAGGGCTTTCTCTGCGGTGGCGCCTAAGTTATGGAATGCGCTCCCCAGAGAGGTCTGCCTGGCGCCGTCGTTATTTGCTTTTCGGCATCAGGCGAAGACCTTTTTATTTAAGCGGCATTTTAACTGTTAGTATTATTTGATCTTATCTGGCCAGGGCGGCTTATTTTATATTGTATTTTTTTGGATTTTTAATGTTTATATTTATTGTAATTTATATTATAATTACTTTTATTTATTGTTGTAAGCTGCCCCGAGGCTTCGGCGAATGGGGCGGCATAAAAATGTTTTAATAAATAAATAAATAAATAAATAAATGATTAAAAGAATTTATGAGTTCTTACTTGACAGGAAAATGGAAGGGGAATAGGTTAAGGAAACTATGATAACATGGGCACAAAATTTTGGATATAATATTGAATTAGAAAAGTGACAAAAGCTATGGGAGAGAAATATTAAGGTAACTTTAGCAACTTCGTATAAAGAAAAATTATATAAAATGTTTTATGGATGGTATTTGTTGCCAAGTTGATTAGCTAAGATATTTCCAAATATGTCAAACAGATGTTGGAAATGTAAACATGATGTGGGTACTTTTTACCATATGTGGTAGACCTGTGAATTTGTGAAAAAATATTGGATTAAAATACATAAATGGCTTGAGGAAATGCTACAAAAACCCTTAGCTTTTAAACCTGAAATTTTTTTGTTAGGCATTATTCGGGAAAATATTAGCAAACAAGAAATGTATTTGATGCTACATTTAATCACAGCGGCGAGGATTGTGCTTGCTCAATACTGGAAGAGTGTGGAACTACCCACTGAGGAACTGATTTTTAAAAAGATTCTGGACTGTGCAGAAATGGACAGATTGACTCTATTACTGAAGGAGAAACAAGATACTGACTTCTATCAAACTTGGGACCTTTTTTATGATTGGCTGGAGAAATGGGACTTGGCTTAGATTTAAAGATGTCTTTAAATTTTTATAAATCGATTTGAATATGATTATAGAATGTTAAAAAGATACGTTATAGGGGGCTGACCCAGTACGTCCGATGTAATTGATGATTGATTTTTTTAGTTTTTAGTTTAAAATCTTAATAAAAAAAAGTATATGAAGTTTTAGTGGAAATCAGGTCATGTCTTAATCTGTGAAACCTTCTGTTTCATGTTTATTTGACCTCACAATGAAATCCAGTGTGGTGTAGTGGTTAAGAGGGCAAGACTGGGACTCAGGAGATCTAGGTTCTAGTCCCCACCCAGTCATGGAGCCCACTGGATGACTTTGGGCAGTCTCAGACTCTCAGACCAATCCATCTCACAGGGTTGTTGCTGTAGGGACAAGATTGAGAACAGCAGGAGAATTATGTAAGCTGCCTTGAATTCCTTGAAGAAAAAAAGTCAGAAAGTAAATATATTAAATAAAATTAATCACAGTATTTCTTTAACAGTGGTTTAAGTCAACTGAGTGCTGTAGGTGAACTGCTAAGGGAAGCTGCAACGGTTCCTTTTAATCATATGTTTTGGCAAAGTAGTTGACTTTTTCAGGTGGAGGTTATAATACAGATTAACCTTTTATTGGAATGGTCTTTAATGCACACTAATGCATTCATTTTAAATTATCTGCCTGGTTCCTGGAAATTAACACATGGTCAATGTCAATGGATGTGCTGTTCTTTTGACAGCTAAAAGACTAGTGCTACAACACTGGAAGGATAATTCCTCACCTTCTGTAATGCAATTGATTGTGGTCTTAATAACTCTTTCAACACTGCAATGAATAGTATGTACAGGCCACTATCATGTGTATGTGTGTAGATATTTCATCTGCTTCTGTTGAGACTTTTGTATAACTTGAGCCTCCTTCCTTCCTTCCTTCCTTTCTTCTTTCCTGTCATTATTTTATAGTCCAATAACAACAGCAGCGATCCCTAGCAGAAAAAAATAGAACTCTGTTCAAATAGATGTGTGGTTGAATGTCAGTGTATAATGTACATTTCTTTAAGTAGCTAACATTAATTAGTGTGACAACAGTTTTTGTTCCTTTGCTTTGCCTCTTAAATGTAAACACAAGCTATGGTCTTATTGTGTTTACAAGTATTCCGGTAAAACTGTCTACAAAATACAAAATTTAAATTTCATTAATGGAGTGATTCAATGGTCCCTTCTTCAGGTGCAGAATGAATGACAGAGGGGTCATAATAATATAAAGCCTACTCAGAGGCTTTATAATAATTTGCTCTTTTCTTGTGGTCAGCCTAAAAGCAAACCTAAATATTGAATGTTAAAGGTTAGCATTCAGAAAGAACAAAAATGGTGAAAAGAACATTTTAATTATTGGCCTAGGATTAATATAAAGCTGTTGAGACCATCTAAGGATGATACATTCTGCTTTATTTATAGAAGGATTAAATCCATTAATTAACACTGAATCCTTGTAGCTAATGAAGTTTCATTATACATGGTTCAGGGGCCATGGAGATTCTTTCTGGAAAAGTATTAGTGAAAGACAGAGCCTAGCCTTTCTGAGAAAGAGAGCTCTTTCGATTCCAGATAGAAGCCAACTGGCATCTGAGAGCAGTTAAATTGACAAAGACATCATAATTCTGCAATGCTCCAATGTTCCAGTGCTCCAATGATTACGGTCATGCAAAAAGTGCATGAAAGACCCTCGCCACATTTGTTATTTACAGTATCTGTTTTAAAGTCATGTGTTAAAAGTAAAGATTTTGATTGCCATGTAAACGAAATATTTTATGTGAGGGATCTGGAAAAACAGATGCCCTAAACCTATCAAAATAATCCTGACTTTGAAGAACATATTTAAATAATAAAAAACTTGGTATGAAAAATCAGCTGAAGGAAAGACGAACAGCTACATAAATGTATGCATAATTATACCATAGTTTGGCTTATCCAAGTTATCCAAGCACAAGACCAAATGCTAAAAAGAATTAAGTTATAAGGTTGTATTTCTGCACAGTTTGCAGGCTCTGCTACCTATTTTTTAATCTTCCTTTACAGTATTTGATGCTGGTACTGGATGCTGACTTACCAATTCTCTCAACTGTCTCTTCTTCCTGTTTGGACCAAGGAAGAATTGCTGGTCACAGAGGCCATAGAAGAAAGAAGAGAGTGCATGTTAATGGTGTGTGAGGTATCCTTTTTGGATTTGGGAATCAATTGCATTCCCTGAGCTCAGCTCCCAAAGCTCTGGTCCACTTTCTTGTGGCTGTGAGTCTGACTTCCAGGTAAGCACGCTGAGTGTTTGTGCAGGTGCAAACCAAGAAGCAAGCTCACATGAATGCTGTGCAAGTGGCATTTCTCTTCTACACACCTGACATGCAACCTTTGCTTATCCTGCGTGTGCAGTGGAAGAAAGTGTTGGTTGTGCAACTAGAATGCTGGGAGCATTTGCAGACTTCTCAGGTCAGCTTGTTTTATAAATGATGGATCAGCACAAGAAGAAGAGGGCTGGATTCTAGGGAACTGTTGCCGCCCCGTGCAAGAGCTGCTCCTTTGAAATTATGTTAACTGAAAAGGGTTCAAAATACTCCGTAGACTGCCGGTTCACATGTCTACTTTGCCATATTGCTGAGCACTTTCTCCATGCTAGGGGAAAAGTAGGTGCAATGAAGCCTCAGCCTCATCACACTGATTGTTGTTACTGTTCTGTGCCATCAAGTTGCCTCCAACTTATGGTGATCCTATGAATGAAAGCCCTCCAAATGTGCAGTCCTTGACAGCCCTGCTTAGCTGTTCTAAATTCAAGGCTGTTGCTTCCTTTATGGAATCAAGCAATTTCTTATTTGGTCTTCCTTTTCTTCTTCTGCCTTCAACTTTCCCTAGCATGATAGTATTCTCCAGGGAGTCTTGCTTTTTCATGATGTGTCAGCTTCGGTTTTTAAAAGGGTTTTGCTTCTAGAGAAAGCTTTGGCTTTATTTGATCTAAGACCTACTTGTTCATTTTTCTGTCACAAAACTCTCCTCCAGTACCATGTTTTGAACTCATCAATTATCTTCTTGTCAACTTGCTTAACTGTCTAGCTTTCCTACCCATACCTAGTGATAGAAATACAACTGTATGAATGATCTTGGCCTTGGTCTCCAGAGAAACGTCCTTATATTTGATTGTTTTTTTTTTTTTCTAGTTCCTTCACTGCTGCCTTCCAAATCTCATTCGTCTTTGAATTTCTTTGCTGCAGTCTTCCTTTGAATATATGACTGAGCTTTCACATTTTTGATTTCTTCATTGATGCCCATAAAGTTCACTAATTCTTCTGCAGTCATGATGTTTGTTTTCTTACTTTGCAGCTGTAATCCTGCATTTGCACATTCTTCTTTCACTTGCACTTTTAGTATTAGAGCTACTCCACTTCTTCTGTCATTTCCAGAGTAATATACTTTGTCTGACTGAAAATTTCCCATTCCAGTCCACTTTACCTCTCTCATAGCAAGTAGTGCAATGTGTAACTGTTCCATTTCTTACTTTATGGTTTTCAGTTTGTCTTGATT